CTCTTCCATCCAGCATCTCAGGTGCCCACAACTTCATTCAACAGTGTGTCTAGTACCTGCACTCAAGGGAGGGACCCAGAGAGGCGAGGGGAGAGTGGCCACCACGTAGGGAGGCACTGGCCGGCCTTGCAGACACGTCCCCGAGCACACCGCTGCACCGGCAGCCGCCCTCAGGCTTGTGTTTGTGGCTCTGCAGAATTGTGCCGCGGTTTTGTGTTCTTCCTGTTGGAACGTTTTATAGGCTCATCTCAGATGACGTCTGCATCAAAATGGAAAATGAAAAGATGACCCAACTAGGAAGGTGGCTGAATCCTGTCTTCCGTTAGGAGATTTGGGTTTGGTTGCTTAAGCAGAGGGAGGTATCCTGAAGGAGAGACGGCCTGGGAAAAGCCCGGGAACGGTGGGCGGGGTGCCCGTAAAATCCTTGTTGATCCCAAAGTAGCATTCTGGAGCCTTCAGTGACAGGTCAGCTGCCCACAGTGTTGCCTGAGGATCCACTATGAAACCGGAGCGCTCCCTGCACAGGACACGGGGAAGTTACGGCCAACTGCAGGTGTGCGGCTGGGTCAGCGAGCGTGCCCCGAGCCGGCTGCTCATCTTTACGGGACGAATGGCTCTGCCCCAGGACTGATGGGAGGCGTGGAAATTAACGGGGTCTCTGTGCACTTTGGAGACCCCACCGCGGCCTCCCAGCTTTGCCGCCAAGGGAACTTCTGGTTCCTGACTCAGACAACCTGCCTTTTTTTGTTTTTTTAACTCAGGAAGCCTTCACTATCTTCTTGTTAGTCCTTGGTTCCTCAAAGTCAACAGTCCTCTGCCTGGATGCCTTGTGCTAATGCTTGGTGGACCCTTTCCACCTTAGACACGTGCTCCTCGGTTCTGACAAAAGTGCTGTGTTCCAGGGGCTTCCCTGGTGGCGCAGTGGTTAAGAATCCGCCTGCCAATGCAGGGGACACAGTTTCGAGCCCTGGTTCGGGAAGATCCCACTTGCCGCGGAGCAACTAAGCCCGTACACCACAACTACTGAGCCTGAGCTCTAGAGCCCGCGAGCCACAGCTACTGAGCCTGCGTGCCTAGAGCCCGTGCTCCGCAACAAGAGAAGCCACCACAATGAGAAGCCCGCGCACCGCAAAGAAAAGTAGCCCCCGCTCGCCGCAACGAGAAAGCCCGCGCGCGCAGCAACGAAGACCCAACGCAGCCAATAATAAATAAAATTAAAAAAAAAAAAAGACTGCCGTGTTCCATCTTTGGGAGTTTCACCCTCTCCAGTTTCTTATTTTTCTGACTTTTACACATTGGGCTACCTGGACTCTCTGATTTCCTCTCATTGTCTCCTCTGTTTTCTGGAAAATACACCTAACTCTGTCTTCTATCTCTTCTATTGGATATTTTATTCAGGCTGTGATAGTTTTAATTTCCAAGAGTTTTTAAAAGACTGCTTTTTTAAGAGCAGTTTTAGGTGCACAGTATAATTGAGAGGAAGGTAGAGAGAGTTCCCACATACCCGCTGTCCCCACACACGCACAGCCTCCCCGCACTGTCACCGTCTCCGCCAGATGGTGCACTTGTCACTGATGAACCTACACTGACAGGTCATCACCACCCAGAGTCCACAGTCACATTAGGTTCACTCTTGGTGGTGTACATTCCATGGGTTTGGACAAGTGTCTGATGCCGTGTATCCACCATTATGGCAGCACTCCGAGTATTTTCAATGCCCTAGAAATCCTCTGTGCTCTGCCTACCTATCCCTCCACTCCCTTGCCCACACTGGCAACCACTGATCTTTTTACTGTCTTCATAGTTTTGCCTCTTTCCACAATCTCATAGAGTTGGAACCATAAAGCAGCCTTTTCAGATTGGCTTCTTTCACACGGTAATATGCCTCTAAGGTTCCTCCATGTCTTTTCGCGGCTTGACAGGGCATTTCTTTTTAGTGCTCAATAGTATTCCGCTCTCTGGCAGTGCCACAGTTTATCCATTCGTCCACCTAAGGGCATCGTGCTTGCCTCCAAGTTTTGGCAATGATGAGTAAAGCTGCCATAAACATCCATGCACAGGTTGTATGGACACTGTTTTCAGCCCCTGTGTGCTATGCTAGGAGTTTCAGGCCTCTTGTTTAAGTCTGACCCACTTGGAGTTGATGTGTTTTATGTGCGGTGTAAGGTAAGGGTCCAGTATCTGTGGTGTGAGATATGTGGACATCCAGTTTTCTAAAAATCACTTGCTGAAGAGACTGTCCTTTCCCCGTCGTGTAACATTGGCACCCTTGTTGAAGACCAGTTGACCGTGCACACGTGGTTTTATTTCTGGGCTCTGTATTCTGTTCCATTGGTCTATATGTTTGTCTTCATGCCAGTACCATACTGTTTTGATTACAACAGCTTTGTGATATATTTTGAATCTAGAAAGTGTGAGGCCTCTTTGTTCTTTGTGGTTCCATATGAATTTGAGAGTTTTCTCTATTTCTGTAAAAAATACTGTTGGGATTTTGATAGGGATTGTGCTGAATCTGTAGATATATTTGGGTAGTATGGACATCTGCACAATATTAAGTCTTCCAGTCCAGAAACATGGATGTCTTTCCATTTGTTTGTTTCTTCTTTAATTTCTTTGATCAGCGTTCTGTAGTTTTCAGTATACAAGTCTTTTACCTCCTTAGTTAAGTTTATTCCTAAGTATTTTATTCTTTTTGGTGCCATTGTAAATAGGACTGTTTTCCTAATTTCTTTCAGGTAGTTTGTGGTTAGGGTATAGAAATGCAACTGATTTTTGCATGCTGATTTTGTATTCTGCAACTTTACTGAATTTATTAGTTTTAGCAGGTTTTTGGTGGCATCTTTAGAGTTTGCAACATTATGTTGTCTGCCAACAGGGACAATTTTATTTCTTCCTTTCCAATTTGAATGCCTTTTACTTCTTTTTCTTGCCTAACTGCTCTGGCTAGGACTTCCAGTACTATGTTAAATAGAAAAGGTGAGAGCGGGCATCCTTGCCTTGTTTCTGGTTTAGAGGAAAAGCTTTCAGTTTTTCATGATTGAGTATGATATTAATTGTGGGCTTTTTATATATAGCCTTCATTATGTTGAGTTACTTTCCTTGTATTCCTAGCTTGTTGAGAGTTTTTATCATGAAAGAGGGTTAAATTTTGTCAAATGCTTTTTTTTTTTTTTGCTTCTATAGAGGCGATCATATCTTTTATCTTTTATTCGGTTAATATGGTGTATCACATTAATTGATTTTTGTTTGTTGAAACATCCTTGCATTCCAAAGATAAATCCCACTTGGTCATGGCATACGATTCTTTTAATGTGCTGTTGGATTCGGTTTGTTGGTGTTTTATGGAGGATTTTTGCATCCATGTTCATCAGGGATATTGGCCTGTAGTTTTTTCTTGTGGTGTCGTTGGCTTTGGCATCAGGGTAATGCTGGCCTCATAAAATCAGTTTGGAAGTGTTTCCACCTTTTCAGTTTTTTGAAAGAGTTTGAGAAGGAATGGCATTAATTCTTCCTTAAATGTTTGGTGGAATTTACCAGTGAAGCCATCTATTCCTGGACTTTACTTTGTTGGGAGATTTTTTTTTTTTTTTTTTTCGGTATGCGGGCCTCTCAGTGTTGTGGCCTCTCCCGTTGCGGAGCACAGGCTCCAGAGGCACAGGCTCAGCGGCCACGGCTCACGGGCCCAGCCGCTCCGTGGCACGTGGGATCCTCCTGGACCGGGGCACGAACCCGCGTCCCCTGCATCGGCAGGCGGACTCTCAACCACTGCGCCACCAGGGAAGCCCTGTTGGGAGATTTTTGATCACTGACTCAATCTCTATATTAGTTATAGGTCTGTGCAGACTTAATAAAACTAGAGATGAAAAACTAGACATTATAACCGATGCCAGAGGAAGAATGGTCACAAGAGACCACTACGAGCAGTCACGGGCCGGCAAGCTGGATAACCCGGAAGAGGGTCAACTTCTAGAATCAGAAACCTACCAAGACTAAATCACGAAGCAGCAGCACACACCACTTGAAAACTGCAGCCGAGGTGAGTGCTGTGATGGGTCTGGAAGAGAGTTAATGGTTGGCATCACTGCTCTGGGGGTTGCAAATGCAAGCATTAGTGGCACATACTTTGTTTTGAGGGATTTTGTGGGGACGTACTTGAGACCTCAAAGTGATAAAGAAGCAACGTTCAAACCAAATGACACGTCTGGGGTTTAATTATGCTGCTTCTTTTATTGCATCTCCTTGTTCTCACTGTCGTCCTGGAGGACATCATGTGGAACGAGTCAAGAAGGGAGAAACGAAGGCTCCTACCCAGCCCCAGACCAAGGGTGACGAGCTGCTCCAGACCACGTGGACCTCCCAGAGCTTTAAAGATGGCGCAACAGGAACGGCGACCTGGTTGCAGGTCACATGGTCACCACACGTTTTCCAAGTAATACAAACCCAGCAACTCCAGGTAAGACTAAACAGCTGCAGGAATCAGCGATGACGTCATTTAATTCCAACTCATGAAACTTGGTGTTGCCACCGTTATGCCGTCTCCCTTCCTGTGGCGTCAGCCCATCGTTCCTAAAAATATCTGGCCCATTTGTTGGTCGTCTCCTCTCTCCACCCAGGTGGGCAAGAGACACTTGGCTCTATGGTTGTGATTTTTTTTTCCAGTGCTGGAACATCCCAAAGAAGCACGACTTTGAAGGCTGACTGGAGATGAGCTGGGAGCAAGCACGTACATTTACTTGGGTCCCTAAAGCCCCCAGGTTCTTCTCAAGAGTCGTTTCCACACGAGAACCCACAGAAGTGAACGCCCTGCAAGGCCTTCTCGTGAGGACATCACCGTGTTGTCCAAATACATCCAACGTTTTACACACTGACACTTGAATGGACACACAAATTCCCCGCATCCAAGTAAACTTTAGATTCTGATTCAGCAGGTCCTGGGTGCGGCCTGAGACTCTGCATTTCTAACCAACTCCTGGTGGTGCTGTTGCTGCTGGTCCGTGGCCCACACTTTGAGTAGCAAAGTCTAGATGTCAGCCAACATGGGAAGCGTTAATTACCCTATGGCAGCTGCGCAAAGTATTAACCATTTGGCAACGTTGAAACGTATTTCGCTTGTGTGAGCGAGGAGGACAACCCTCGCTTACACTCCTAGGTCAGGATGACAAGCACGGGCACACACGCACATCTGTATGAAGTCGAAACAGGAGGGGAAGAGAGAGCAAGGAGAGCATGTGGATTTGCTGAGGTGACGAGCCTTTCAGAAAATCTCAATTTTTAAGTCCTCACAGGCTTGTAGAATAAACGGTGTTTTTGAGTACATGACCCAGAAAGAAGGCTACTGAGTTGAGCCACTTGCCGTCTACTTTAGAAGGGTGTTCAGAGCCTCCTCATTCTGAGGACTGCCTATGACTTAACGAGACAAGCCTGGACGGCGACACGGCTCATATAGGCTGAAGGAAAAGGCAGAAAAAGGCAGATTATTTAAGCAGGAAACGCGTCAGTCAGTGGGGGGGTGTTCCCTTCAGCGGTGTCACGTGGGAGGGGAGAGTAGCAGTCCTGCAGAGCTAGCATCCCGGCTGCTGTTGGGGTTTGGTGAGACCTGCGGCAGCGCAGGGCGGTCCTCGCTGACCTGCCGCCCTGCAGTGACCCTGGCTGCTTCCCAGCCACCCCGAGGAAGGGGTCACCCAGCTCTGAAGCCACTTCCCCTAAGTGGCAGGCCTGTCTTAAGGCCCGGAGACATCATCAAATCAGTGCAGAGGTGGCCGGGGCCCACTTTGAAGCGGACATGGTCCTTTGGGTACACAAGCTCTGGCTCATTCGAGACACAGTGTTCTCCTGAATCCACAGGCGCACCAGCCCTGAAATCCTCTCCCGAGCAGGCGCCCGGCATGGGACGGCCAAGCTCGACGTGCCATCTGGCCACAGGTCGACAGGCCCATGGGCACCAGGAAACTGAGGCTCACAGGCAGCAACCAGCCGTCTGACAAACCAGCACCATCCCCAGGCTGGGAGAACTTGCTTGAGTTCCAAGAAAAGCTCCAGGTGCAAAGGTTAAAGAATAGTAATGATGCCAGGACGCAGTTTCGACGTTTCCGGTTTCCAAAATGCCTTCCTATACATGATCTGATTGCATTTTCCCTACGACCTTCAGGCAGGTAACAGTATACCCATTTCGTAGACCAAAACAACTGAGTTTCATCAAGGTTACAGGATGTGCCCAGGTTCTCACAGGTAGGGAGAAAGGAGGGATTCCTCACGGGCGTTTTGGCTAGAATAAAAGCACTATTTTCTAACCTAGATCCTTCTCTGTTTTTATTTTTTGAAGTAAAAACAGTAAAAAAAAAATAATAATAATAATAACTTCTTGAATAAACAGAGGAGTCGAGAACAATAAAACTTTCACCGAGGTTTTTTCGATAATATTTTCAGTTCAGGGTTTGAACTGCAAAGTATATGCCAGATGAACCTCACCCTTGTCTGCAGGCTGATTCGCACCTCCCTCAGACTTGAGCAATGCCTGTCGATTTCCCGGGGCTGTGCCCGCTCCGGCGCCGGAAGCTCTGTGTTGTGCTCAGCATGTGTGCAGGTGCCAGGCCCAACCGGACACTTGTGGGCTTCCTCGGATATTCAGACTCTGCTTTCTGAGTGTCTGGGATGTGTGTCCCACAGCATCACATTCCCTGGCTCGGGATATAAACTCGCTTGACCTTTTCCCCATGAGCTTTAATGCAAATCCAGGGGCGACGGAGATGGGTTAATGACAGGGACATGCCCACCACGGTCTCCATCACCACCTGGAAGAAGAGAGAGGGAAGGGACCCAGGCGACGACAGGGAGAGGCTGCTCAGGGATCCACGGGTGGCGCACAATGAGTGTTTTATGTTGAACATTACTAACGCTGTTTAATAACAATGACAATATTATTAATGATAATAATGAGAAGCTGGCTGACTTCCAACTCACCTGGTCATCCAGAAGCAGCTCACAGAACTCCAGGAAGACCCATCTGTGCTGCTTCATGTACTCACGTCACCGATGGTGGCCACACCTTGGTGGCCAGGTCCCAGGTGGCACGGGGCTGGGGACGATGCTGAAAGGAGAGGAGAAAGGGGTTAGTCTCAGCCTGGCATCTGCCTAATGTCCACCAGAGGGCGCCACAGGAGAGCAAATGCATGGGCACTGCACACTGCTCAGGCCACAGAAAAATTCCTACAACATTGGCGCATCCAGCCCCCCCC